TCAGTCTCCCGAAATCCAAAAAGCTTTTCCCAGAAGGTCTTTCATGTCCTCTTCGACAAACGACGAACAGCAACAATTGACGAAAATTGGTCTGTCTGTCAGTTGCTGAAGGTGGCATGCCAGTAGTTGGAATCCCAGTAGGGACAGCAGCGTTCCAGAGGAATTTCGTCTCCAAATTCGCCTGTGGTGACCCGGCGGAGTTCCTACTCCGCCTAGTAACGCTTGACGGCGGAGTTGATACTCCGCCTAGTAACGCTTGACGACCCTCAAGCCAGCCATCAACTGCTGCGTTTATCTGGTGTCCCACGTTTGTTCCAGCTGCTGAGGACGATTGCACCGTCTATCACTTACCTCTCTCTGCAGCAAGAAAACATGGCAACACGATGATGTGGGCAATGAGTAAGATTGTCCTCGGCAAGATGGCCGACTTCATGAGAATACCAACGGACAAAGAGATGCGGGCAGACCCGACGAAGAGCGAGGAGGTAGATTTCTCCGAAGGGACAGATCGGGCACGGGTGCACCATGCGTGAAGGAGGACTAGGAATCACGAGCAATGTTCTCATTCGAGAATCGGCCTTTGTGGCAGGGCAAGCACTGGTGTTCTCAAGTCAGTGCAAGCATCGACAGGATACACAGTTGAGCAATGTCTGCCCCGGCTTGCCCAGTTACCGACAGGATTGGCTTTGATTGACTCGCTCAGAAGCTAATAGAGGAGATCATCACCAAAGACAAGCTTGAATAACAGCCCGGGGGTAGCCCCGGCCTCATCTGAAGCCCTTTCCTTTTTTTGGCCAGGAAGGGTATATCTATCTATTATCTATGTGGGTCAAGGATGGTGTTATTGTTGTTCGAGGAGATGAAGAAGAAGTTGAACGAAGAAAAGAAGCAACATTCCTCATACTTGACTTGGCGTTGGCATGGGTACGGAGTCGGAAAAACGACAGGTGGCCGTCGGCCGTGACCATGCATGGTTACCCATCTTGGCGTCAGATCAGGATCGGCCAGGCTACTCTTTGCCGGGTAGACGGGGAGGAAGCGTGAACCACAATTATTTCTCCGGTCGTCAAGTACGGGAGAGAATGGCCGAGGGCAGCCCCGATGGGATATTAGTGTGAAAGCGAAGATGTGGTGGAATTTCTTTGTGATGGTCCCGGCATTTTGTCACGGCAGCAGAGTGCCCGCTTAAATACGTTGATCCAGCACGCTGCGAAGCGGGCTGGGGAGGGCTAGGGCATGTCTCAAAAGATATCCGAATCATCTGTGGACCCCCGTCTTGGGGCCGCCGAACCTGTGAGTCAGTACACCTATTATAGCTAGGATAAGCTAGTTGTACCGTTGTCTAAGTAGACGTACCGTTGGCTAACTAGGATACGCTAGTTGTACCGTTGTCCAGCTAGGGTAAGCTCGAGTTGCGGACCATTGCTCCTATGGAAGATATTCACCCCACATGAGCTAACCCCATAATGATCGATGAACCCCAGCCAGCAGCTGTTGCGCGAAGCATGAGTAAACCAACTAAGTCGATAATAGCGTTATCACCGCTGTGACAACATGTCTATTTTGTTTTGTTTTTTGTCTTCACTTCAAATAAGCGCTCACAGCACTAGTGCCGTTTACTCCAACCCGTGGTCACACAGAAGGGCCCCTCTCTACCCTCCCCTCCTGCGGCACGTTGCCTTCGATTTTTAATGCGAGAAGAGTTCAGCACTCTCTTCCCTCTGGTTACACACGAACTAGCGCTCCCTGGCCAGGAACGAAAGCGAGAGAAAAACTCTATTTGCAAGAAAAGCTCGCGTACGCCGGGATTCGAACCCCTGAGCTGACCTCTAGAAGGTTTCGAGGATACCAACTAGACCACCGGGGCGTCTGCAGCACGACGAATACCGCATCCAAACGGGAAACCTCAAAAGAAACGAGAAACCAGGCAGGGCCAGGCGCGAAGATGAGTCATACACGCGCAAGGGCAAAGTGGATTATGGTCCGCCGAGTCCAACACACGCCGGAAAATGAAGCGAAATAAAAGCGGTAAATAAAGGGAGTCCGACCAGGTAAGAAAATGAAACCTCGTGTAGTACAGGGGTACGATACATGTACCAGGTACTCCTAGTGAAGAACGACGAGGAGAATGAAGTCGCGATAATTTGTCGAGATCGCGCAAGCATATAACGGACCCAAGTCCCACTCGATATAATGCAGAAACGCCGCTAAAAAGAAGTGCACAGATGAAACACCTCCATAACCAGCACGCGGACCACTCCTAGATAGACACGCAAGGGGAAAGTGGCATGCAATAAAGTCCGACGAGTGAAATTCACGCGGGAAAATGAAGTCGAAACTCACGCGGAAAATAATGCAGTCCAACCAGTCAACAAAACTAAGCGAGAACAAATAAGGCGGGAACGCGTCTGCCTAACAAATGAATCCTCGTGTAGTCGAGCGCTACGAAACGTTCACCAGGTAGTACATACGTAATCGAGGACGACGGGGAAAATACACGCGGGAAATCTAAGTCGAAATAGACGCGGAATATACATACATGCAATGCAACCAGACAGGAAAAGGAAACCTCGTATAGTGCAGGGGTACGATACATGTACCAGGTACTAGTGAACAGGCGCTAAAATATGTCGAGGTCGGGCAAGCATATAACGGACCCAAGTCCCACTCGATATAATGCAGAAACGCCGCTAAAAAGAAGTGCACAGATGAAACACCTCCATAACCAGCACGCGGACCACTCCTAGATAGACACGCAAGGGGAAAGTGGCATGCAATAAAGTCCGACGAGTGAAATTCACGCGGGAAAATGAAGTCGAAACTCACGCGGAAAATAATGCAGTCCAACCAGTCAACAAAACTAAGCGAGAACAAATAAGGCGGGAACGCGTCTGCCTAACAAATGAATCCTCGTGTAGTCGAGCGCTACGAAACGTTCACCAGGTAGTATATGCGTAGTCAAGGACGACGGGGAAAATATACGCGGGAAAAAGAAGTCGAAATAGACGCGGAAAATACATGCATGCAGTGCCACCAGACAGGAAAAGGAAACCTCGTGTAGTACAGGGTGTACCAGGTACTAGTGAACAGGCGCTAATATATGGCGAGGTCCGGCAATCGTAAAACGGACGCAAGTCCCACCCGATAAAAAGGCGCAAGTTGAGGAAGTGCTTGGCTCTCTTGCTCGCCCTCTGCTGACACAAGTTGAGGGCGTTGGCGCGCGAAGAGCCAGTTTCGTTCGTACGCATTGCGGAACGACTTGCCCGCGCAGCTGATAGCCCGGCCTGACCCGTACCCCCCACCGATGAATAACACGGATTCATCAAGAAGAGGATCGCCGCCGAAGTCCGTTCCGGACGCAAAGAAATGGGTCTTTGCTGGGGTGGACGCATCATTTTTTCGCGCCGGTGCTTTGTGAGGAAGAGTATTCCTCTTCATAGCCGGAGTCGACGCGAAGAGGAGAAGGAGAGCCGCGAAGGCGACAAGCCAGGCGTACATGATCTCTGCAGGTTGGGTGTGTTTGTGCGGCAAGCAGACGGGAAGCGCAGGCGAATACCTGTACACCCACGTGTACACCCATGGTTGACGCTTCGGCAGGGCCACCACCGGCGTTACTCAACCGGCGCTGTTGAGGGCCCCCGAACGCTCCGCCACGTCCTAGAGCAAATTGATGATGGCGTAAAGCATCGCACCGCCGACACCCATGATGAACGGGGTGTCCATGGTGTGCGGCGAAAACGCCTCGGCCAGCGTCAAAGCCATCGGCAGCGTCAGCAGGGCCACCAGGAATTGCCAGAACGTGGCAAACGACTGCACACCGATGCGCCAACCAAGAGGAAAGGCGGGGGGGCGGGGGGCGGGACGTATTTATTGTTGCAAAGTGGTTCGAGTTTGTAACCGTCGAGGAGCTGACCATGTACGTTCAGACGAGAGGTGTAGCAGGGAGTGTGAGCGGCCCCAAAACAAGAAGCCAATATTGGAAGGAAGGGGGGCGTGGGGCCACGGTGGCGTCGCTTATTTGTCGATATTTCTGTAGCACAGCATCTCACGCGTCACCGCGGCCCTACAACAGGGAGAGGGCAACCAGTTCATTTGGTCGCGCCATGGCGTGTGGCAATGCCATGCAAAATTAGCAGTATAGAAACCTTTGCGCTTTTGTGCCATGAAGGCCGCATGATGGCGGATCAGCAAGTCATCGAGAACATGCGGCAGAGAAAATCAACACACAAATTGGAGCCACCGTCGTTCGGGGGAGGGGGGGGTTTACCTGCATCACTGGCGGTTTCCACTATGTTCGACGCTTGCATGTTAAACGGTTTCTCCCGCTCGTCACGGTTGGCAGGGGGCACCGCAGTTAGGGGGGGGGGAGGTACCAATGAACTTTGAAAAATTCTTACCGTGAAGACCATGATGATTGTCGCCACAGTCACGACGAAGACGCAGCACGAGCCCTCGAAAGAACGCTCGTAGTACTTGTCGGCGTCACAGCTGCGCACCATGTACTTGTGCTTCCCCAGCCAAATGCCCACCTGAGGAAGTGAGGTGCGCAGAGTCGGTCCAAATTGATGGCTAAGCAGGTCTGTAGCTCGAGCGGAAAGCTTCCCCAAATATGTACAGGGTCGCTACTTTGGTGCTCCTTGCAAAGGTAAAAATGGTTGCTGCCATTGATCGGCTCTGCGTAGGCTGTTGCTACAGGTGCGTCTAGGGAGTTCAATACTCGTTCTCTTCCAAGCACGCAAGCGTGATCCAGCCGACATCCAATAGATGTCTTTCCTCTGCCCGCCTCTCGCCATCGAACTTGGTCCAATCGAATAACTGGTTGAAGACGTCTATCCGTCACAAACAATTAGGGAAAACAACCAGCGGGCCATCTGGTTTTCGTTAGTGCCGCGTACCTTTTATATGAAAAAACATTCCTAGTGTGTACTATCATGCGTCGCGGGTATCTCAAAAATGATTAATTCGTCCATCCGCCGTTCGTTGTTGTGCTGCTTGCGCGGAACAAGTTGATAAAAAACGCCAACAGAAAAAAACGCCCGCTGACTCAGGATTCAGAAGACGCGACGAATCCCTTAAAGATTGCGGTCTTCCTCTGATGTGAAAACATGGCCAGTGCGTCCCACCACATCACCGGCAAGGTGTAAAAACTATAGAAGGTTCAGAAGAGACATGGGACTCCGACAAGAACGTGTACAAGGTTTAGAAGAGACATGGGACTCCGACAAGAACGTCACACCAGACGGCCAAGGCTTGTGAGGAGAAAGAAAAACGCGTGTGCGTGCGTGTGAGATTTGGCATTAGTATCGACCGCGCCAACCGGCTGTGACCAATGAAAATCCGTCGGTCTCATTGCGGCTGGAAACGAAAAATGTGAGTGTGTTTCTTACTACCATCGACCGCGCCAACCGGCTGACCAATGAAAGGACGGTATTGTAGCCATGGTGCGGCCGAAATCGCTTCAAAAGGTCATGATGTAGAGTCCGGTGAGGGGGAGTCACGGGGCGAGCTAGGCTGTTCTTCAGACTGAACACAGAAAGAGATGCTAGGCTATTCTTCAGACTGAACACAGAAAGGGAGGCTAAGCTGTTCTTCAGACTCAACACATAAAACGGCAAAATATGAAGACAAGTGAAGTTGACGTGGGCACGATTGTGTTCTTGTGCTCCCGTCCCGTCTACGCCCGCGCTCCCTTGCGGCCTAAAAGTGTTGACGCACCAGCCAAAGGGTCAAGTAACACAGCAGAGGACAATTACTTCGTAAAGCACGAGAAGGAGGTGCTGTTCTCTTTGGTTAGACGACATTGCAAACATACGAAAGGACATTCGAAAAAAACACGACACGAAAGTGGAGACTGACCACTCACCGGCTCGGCGAGGCCGTCGCCTACCCCGGTGACGAAAACGAGGATGTAGACGAGGTCGCGCTGGTTGGACTCCAGGAAGAGGTGAGCAAAGAAGACGATCATGATCTCCCCGGGCCAGATGTTGTACTTAATGATCCATTCCAGCGTGTGCGGGCGGTCCTGGGGGCAGCGGGGCGATGCAGCGACGGGGGGAGTTGCGAGAGGGCCGGAGGATTCAGACGCTGTTGTTGTTGGTGGTGGTGGTGTTGTGGTTGTGGCTATTTCGCTGTTGTCTTGGCAAAATGAATCGATGTGGGCCTCGACCGTACCCAGGAAATTCTTCTTCCTTCGGCCTCGGTCCAAAGAATACGAGCTCCCGTGGCCACAAGCCAAACCAAAGCAACCTCACTGCCGGCAAAGCACTTGAGGTCGGTACCATCGACAACGTCGCGAGCACGAGGTGACGGACACGACAGGGTCAGAATGACTGAAGAAAAAAAAACAGCAGTGAGCATTCGCGTCATGTCATCGCGTGTGTAATGGCATCTCGCTTCGAAGCACCGTGATCGACTCGTGCCGTCCGCTATCACACAATTTCATATCGGGGGACCTGTTTCGAGTGGGATGAATTTCAACACAAGACGCAAATTTGTTGGACAGGATCACTGCAAACCCTCCTCCGTAACATCCCATCCGTATACCGTACCATACCACCAACTTTCCGTCGGATCCAATTTCACGGGACATCATCCTGTACCATTCGACACCACAAGTAGTCAACCCGGAAGCGCTTGACGTTCTCTCCACCTCCGGCTCCGCTGGATGTGGAAACACCGAGCATTTTCCTCACACACGATCGCATCATAACTGCTACCGTGTCAAATCCATACCACACCGTACTGGTTCATTCCATGTAGAGTCACAAGGTACAAGCAAATACCCGTTTGACGGGAGAAAGTTCACATTCTCCGTACCTCCGGGCGGTCGAGTCCGTTGAACTGCAGCATGAAGAGCGGGATAGCCTCTCGGATGGGCTTGATCATCACCAAGAAGCCGATCAACGTTACCCATACGCCCCAGCTCAGCTGCGGCAGCAATCAAACATCAACAGCGATAGGCGCGTAACAACAGCAACGGCAGCAGTGTAACCACGCGCGGCACTCCCAAGTAACGTGAATATGTGCCGACATTGATAGTGGAAGGAACCGGACTGCAACAGCTGGCCTCGATGCGCTATCTGTGCCTTGTTTGTTTGTGGAAACCCGCAGCCCGGTACCATGACATACCGCGGATATCATGGCACGTGCACCGTGACGAGAGCACGGAAGACGCAGGTGCTAGAGGCACAAGGACTCGTGCAACCACTGGAGGCAAGACGTTGTCGTGATTATCCCCGGCGCCAACATCGCCACCAAGATTCGTGTAGACTACATTGTCACAAACCGCCCGAGTAACATCTCGGCACTCATCGTCAAGATCATCTTTATTGCGCCTTGTCTTTCGGTAGCACCGCCACGGACATGAGAAACGCCAATTTTTGGGTCGAGGCTCTATTTCCCATTTCACCGCCACCGTCAAGGTTACCTTTTTGCGGAGTTCAGCGTAGGATCCACCGCTCGCTGAGCTCGTTGTGTTTCTTAACGCTATTGTCGCATATTCGGTGAAACTCCGAGCGCCTCTGATACATATAAGTGTATCGTGCTTTCGGGAACAGACTGTACAAACTCTGCGTCTATGATGCGATAATGTTTTGGAGGAACTAACCTCTAGTGCTCGGTCTGAACTTCAACAAACACGCTAAGAAAGAACATGTGCAAAAGTTTAAACTACCAACGGAGGCGTGCATGCTATCTGTGGCGGATATTTCTGCAACTTGATGCACAACAACGGCAAACACGGTGCTTTGCACACCACTACACTCAGCACCTTCTCCTACATAGACCTAGCGTCCGACGTACTTGCGTCAAGGCCATCGACATACCGACAGCATGTCCCCACCAAGAAGAACGACGAGAAAAAGTTATCACGTCTCGTCTCAGGGACAAATATTTTGACAAAATCGCAAAAGAGATCGAAGGCGGGAGCCAGAAAGGCAGGCAATCCCCCGCGTCCGTGCGACCCCAATGGGCGCATCGAACAAACCATTGAATTCCGCAAGGTGCAGACTGGCGCCCAGAACAGATCGTTCCTGACGGGTCGCACGACAACAGTCTCAGCAGTTACTGATGATGTCGATGTAAATAACCCGGGGTGTGGAGTCGTGCGTCTACCTGGATGGTGGAGAGCAGTGTTGTAGCTCTAACGCCACAATCCCATCTCTCACGTCTTCTGATGCACGGTGATGGCGTTTTCTCTGAAACGGGGAAGATGTCCCCAGGGATTCCAATGAATGAAGCTTTTTTCTCAGCACAAACTTGCCCTGCTCAGCTCTAAGCAAAGGCTCTACCTCGTTGATGCACAGGAGTATGCGGTTCATTCAATGCCCCGTTCGTGGAAATAGGTACCTCAAGGGTCCCGGTGCAGTTGCAGTCAGGAGAGGGCGAGAAGAGCAGGGGTACCAGGTACGCGGCGAAATGCTGCACTTTTCGGGTGTAGTTCACCTGGAACCAACAAACACAACGACAAAATGAAAATTACAAAGACGCGGAAAGAGTGAGAAGTGAAGCAGAGGCCGGAAGAGCAGGGGTACTTGTACCAGGTAGGCGGCGAAATGCTGCATCTTTCGGGTGATGTTCACCTGAAAGACAAGACGCTGAGAGAGTGACAAGAGCAAAACGACGAATGAAGGAGAAGATCGAGCGCGGGAACGAAACAGGGAAAGAGTCTCCAAAGAGCCGTTGTTTGTCCATTGACCTGGACCGTTGAGACCTCTACAGAGTCCTCCGTGACAGTCTACTGGTCACTCTGATGCGGATGCCTTCGTTGTCGGCGCGATTTAGGCCGTTCCGACCGACCGACATAACGGAGCTCCCCTTCCATTTATGTACCCCGCAAAGAGATCGATAAACGTACAATGTTGTCTCCTTCATGTAGCACCAACCTTATCCAGATGCGGACCGGTACGGATGTTTCGCGGTAGTGACAGTAGAGACCGGAACGGTACGCACACACACCGAGAGGTGAGGTGTGTCCTTAAACGCCTATTGTAGACTACTA